TGAATTTAATATTTAGGTCGCTGTGAATTACTAGGTCCCATGTGTTGCTTCATCACGGTCTATTCTAAGTTCATCTACTGCTTTATTACTTCAAGTCATCTCCATTTGCATTATTTTCGTAAAAAGTCTTATATAATTGGAGATATGATTTTTACTTTACTGTGACATTTTAAGAAAGATTCTTGCAAGAAATGGGTTAGTAGAAAAATTCACTCCCTTACCAAGTCTCTTGTGTTCCACTCAAATGGGCTTTTACCCTCTCCTATTTCATCCACTATTGCCTTTAACCTCTCAGTCTTATTCCTGCAAGTTGAGTTTCGAATAAGATTCTCTTAAATCAAAGTATTCAAGCTTTGTTTTAAAACACCTCAATAAATCCTAAGGAAAGAAACTATAGTGCAATGTCTAGAAGTAAAAGTTTAACACATGAATGAGAATAAAAGTGTGCTTATTTTATTTGCTAAACAACTAAGATGCAATTAATTATTTAATAGTGTGTTGGAACTAAAACTTACAGAAAGAAAGAAAGAACTTTGAGTGTAAGAAAACAATTACAGATATGACGTACGCATTCGTTTTATCACTAAGGAGGAAACCGAAGATGTCCCTAATTTTTAATCCCGATGTACCTTTTGCTCTAAGATGATGATGATGAAGTCTAGTGCTAATGAGTTGTATATATATGGATGCACGTTGAATTAGGGACAAAAATGAAAGTTAAAAGTTTTTTAAGGTGGTAAAGAAAAATTCAACCATGCACAAAGAAAGGTTAGCTTTTGAATCAAGCAGTTGAACGAACACAATTGTGAATCGATTTTTATAAATGATCGATTTTCATTTCATTTTTTTTTTAGTAGATAGGAAACTTAGCCACTTGAAAAACATGGAAAGAAATTCAAGTGAACAAGGCAAGATTATGATGATGATGATGCTTAACGAGAAAAGTAACAAACAAGGAAAACTTCAAGTTGTTTGCTTCTTGTTTGGATCTCTTTTTTTTTTTTTTTTGGATCAATAGATGATGATGAATGAAAGTGCAAAGATAAAAATAATAAGGTTTATATCAAGTTTGAGATCTAATACTAAATGATGCGAAACCCAGAATTTACAATGTAATCCAAAACTCTCACAATTTCAATTAGTATCAAATATTTAATTTCGAAGTAAATATTTCATATTTAACCTGCTATCAATATTTGATAAAAATTAAGATAATTGAAAAAAGTAATAAAATGTAACAAGATTATCTTAATAAGTTAAATCAATTTCTCACTCAATGAGAATGATGAAAAACATATCATTTGTTAAAAGTTAAACTTTATAATTTTTTTATTCTTAAAACTTGATGATTACAACCATAAAATAAAAACTTATTTATAATTGTACATCATGTAAAATACAAATAAAGAATCTTCTAATTAATTGTAGAAAACTTACATAGGAAAATAAATCAAAATTAAAATAAGAAAGAAATTACATTAGGAAAGATTTAGGCCAAAATAATTTAGATATGCTCTAACCCTTTATGGAAACCTTTTAAATGGGAATGATCTTCATTAATTGTGGAGATGATTGCATGAATAATTATGAGAAATTAGGGCCAACTTGAGGAAGGATTAATTGTCGTCCATATATGCCTAAACGGTTTAAGAGGGAAGTTACATTATTGTCTGATTCTTCCTTAAGGGGAAGAGATTGCTTGCGATTTTAGTAGAAAATTTCCCATTTGGGAGGGAGTCCCTCTAGGGTTGGGAGGACTCCTTTCACACGGGAAGATTTCCTTCCCTTTTTCATAGTTTCCTCTTCCATTTAGATCATGATGCATGTACCATCATGCCCTAGGCCTAATGGGCTTGCTATCTTCCTCCTAGGGGCCTCTTTATTTAATTCAAGCCCTTCTTCCTCACTAAACCATTCTTGAACAAATTATTAGATCGCTTGTTTGAGTCTTTTAGCTTCCCCCTTGCAATGGGATCAGTTGGCATCATACTACCCTTTTCAAGTGATCCAAGTCCATCTAAATTACTTAGATCTTGATTTAAACTTCCTTAGTGCAGGTCTCATTTCTTGATTGGGCCTTGCCGTAAGCTTTCTTCTCTTGGTTGCCCATGCTTTCTTCTTGGCCACCCATTAAGCTTCCTTGGCCGTCCGTGCAGCCTTTTTGTCCTTCTCGGTCCTCCCTCTCTTTCTCTCCTTGGCTTGGATTGTGTTTGGGATGGCTTATGCCGTCCATGCTCACATCATCTTTATTTTCAGTATCGGATTCCAATAACTTTTTAGAATGAATGCATTCTCACTGCAACCTATTTGAGTAATTGAACACCCTCGCCTATCTTAAGCACCAAGACTTCTTATAAACTTTTACATAAGAAGGAAGTGACTTAAAATTTCTTAAACACATTTGAGTGTTCTTTTGCTTCAATGCAAATAGCTTATAAAACCAAGCTTGAACTGAGAGCTAGGCCTTGTGTTTTTCTTACGTATCCTAATGGTGTTAAAGGATATAAACTTTATGATATACAACAGCAGAATGTCCTATCGAGGGATGTAATCTTTCAAGAAAACACATCTCCACTCATTCAATAGCACGAATGAATTATTTATCTAATCCATTTCCAGATCCAGTGTTGCTTTATCTACCTGCAGACTTACACGATTTTCATGTAATCAAACATTGTGATTTTTCTAGCAATGTTGATGATGTTTTTTATATTGTTCCAACTCCTAAAACACAACCATAAGAAGCTTTAAAGGGAGATCATCCAGAACTAGCAGGCCCCTTTCTTAATTAAGGGACTTTTAGTGTAATCAAGTGTTTAGTTCATCTTCAAAATCATTGAGAACTAGCAGACCCCTTTCTTAATTAAGGGACTTTTACTGTAATCAAATGTTTAGTCCATCTTCATCTGCTGGTTGAGCTCTTTATCCTCTCTTAAATTATTTAACATATGATTCTCTTTCTCAATCTCATAGATTCTGGTCATTTCATCTTAGTCGGAGCCTAAATTTTACCACTGGACAATGGCTTACACATGTTGCAGAGATGCTGTGCAGATTTAACTTGAAGCTATGGAGGCAAACAATAATTGGGCAGTTATTCACCTAACAACACCATCCTATTGGTTGCAAATGAGTTTACAAGATTAACATAATTATGATAGATCCATTAAGTATTATAAAGCTCTTTTAATAGTAAAAGGATTTACACACCAGGAAAATGCAGATTTAATAGAGACATTTTCTCCTGTTAAGAAGTTAGTGATGGTTAAAAATTATTCTTTCACCAGCTATATCTCATAATTTTCATCTTACACAATTAAATGTTAGTAATGCATTTTTAAATGGAGATTTGTTGAAGGAAGTCTATATAGATTTTCCTATTGGATATAAAAGATAAGGGGAGACATACAACTCAAAGTTAGTTCGTAAACTCTAGAAGTCTATATTGCCCAAAACAAGCTTCTAGGCAATGCAATATCAAATTTTCTCAAACTCTCCCAAAATATGGTTTTTTAAAAGGCTTATTATCTGTTGTTTACCAAATGTTTTAAAGGTTCATTTGTGGTTGCGCTTGTTTATATTGATGATATTTGTCACCACCAGTCCATTATTAGAAGTTATTCAAAGTGTAAAAGACTTCCTTTACTCCCAATTCAAGCTCAAGGACTCTAGCACACTAAAGTATTTCCTTGAGGCTCTAAATTGGTTGACCAGATAAAGAAATCAACTTGTCACAATGCAAGTATATATTGCAGTTGCTTGAAGATGCAGGACTACTTGCGCGTAAGCCATTTAAAATCCCTATGGAAAAAAAGTTATTGGATGATCCTTCATAATACAAAAGGTTAATTGGATGACTCTTATATCTAAGTTGTGTCACTGCGTGATATAGCCCTTGCAGTCCATAACCTTAGCCAATTTGTTTGACAAACACTTGAGCCTCTTTATAAGTTTGTAGTTCAAGTACCATGTTAACTTTAGGCAAAACCAGGTAATGTCTCATTTTTCCAACACTATCTTCATCTAAAGTTTAAACTTTTTTTCCAATTCTAATTGGACCTCTTGTATTGATTCTCAAAAATCAGTAACTAAGTTTCGTATATTTTTGGGAGATGCACTAATTTCTTGGAGAGCGGAAAAGGCAGACAACTCTCTCTCAATCCTCCACTAAAGTTGAATACAAAGCACTGGTGTCTAAAACTAGTGAGATTATTTTGAATTAACATTTGCTTTCCAATTTTGGTGTTAAATCTTCCAGAATCAGCTATTATTTTTTCTGTGATAATTAAACTACTATTTACATTGCTACCAATCCAGCATTGCATGAACTAACTAAAGACACTAAAATTGATTGTCACCTGGTTCGACATCATTTGAATACAAGAACCCTCAATACCTCTAATTCGGCTCCAACATCAATTTGCTTATCTATTTACCAAGTCTTTGTTATCTATTTCTTTCTTTCATCTCTTTGTCCATATTTAGAGAGGTTTATTAAAGTTAAGTTTGTCAATTGTCACTCTCTTAATCTCTTTCTAAACCTCACGTATATAAACACCGTACAAAGGCTAAATAATAAGAGTAGAAGTGTCCTCTTCCTCTTCATATTTTTCTTTGACCTGCGGCAGTATCAGCGTCTGGTACAAAAGTTGAATCGCTAGATTATCAACAGGAAACAAAATCCTTCATGAGACGTGACTCATTTTAGAATATTCAACTTCCTGCCGATTAAATTTAGCAAAACGAATAGTAAACCACCAAAGCATATATTTACACGCTGCATCGGTGTTTACAAATTGAATTTCCAACTTGTACAATCACGTCAGAAACGCAAAGGACAGATTTTTGCAGAAAGGACTGATACGATAACTGATGCAGACAGAAAGGATCAAATATAGTCTACTCGGTTATGTTTTTCACAATTTTTTTTTTCTTCTTTCAATTATCTCTTCCTGCATTTTTTAGTTTAATTAATGGAGCAGGGTCTAATCAAGCGATACTTTAAGTTAAACAGACTACTATTCATTTGAAAAATAAGCTATTGTTACATTCCAAAGAAAAAAAAAAAAAAAAAAAGGGTAAAAAGAAAAACCATAAAATCTCCCTCTTCGAGACCCGTTCATATTACTGATGTGTCTGGGCATGAGGTGGTGGACCAGGTGGTTGTGGTGGTGGCGGCATACCCGGTTGATTCCCAGACTGCAATAACAAAAAAAATTGAAGGTTATTTTCAGGAATAAAGAGACAGAAAATTGAAGGTCGCTTCCCCACAATTACGTCATTTTTAAACCATTCATCCTGTGTTTCAAATAACTTAATTGCTCCAGTTCCCCTACTAATTCTTTGTTCCAAACATGCCGTTAATTTTAATCACAAAAAAGTATGATAATACTTCAATAAGTTTTTGTACTGTTCAGAAAGTCCAAATTGGCATCTGTACTACTTTTAGATTCAAATACAAATCAAGCTCTCAAAGTTTGCCCAAATAAACCCTTATCAATACCGGTGTATCTAACACCATTAGATAGATGGTTACATAACAGATGATGTGTCCACTTATATAGCAGTCATATAACTACCACACTGGCAACCACTTCTTTCTTTTCTCTCTCTTAATTTCTTTATCTCTAAACAATTATAAATTAAATATATATTTATAAAAATCCAACAACAATACAAAAAACCAGAAGAAAATTCTTAGCCCCAATGTCATTCCAATGCTTTTCAGCCCCATTTAAGCATTATCATCCATCTAACCTGGAAACACAGTATTAGAAAAAAGCATACTGGCAAAAGCAGAACCAATAGCATGGTTGTCACACTAGCGATACTTATAAAACTTTATGCTCACATGGACAGGTCTTCTGCCATGTAAGTATTCGCCTATGGTGTTAGACATGCAGTTAATAATAATGGTCTATTCGAACAAAATTTGAAACTACAAATTGTATTTGAACTGGAAAACAGCACATGAACTGATTCAACCTTTTTGAATGGCACAAGAGCTTTTTGATGTACTACTATAAAAATCAAACAAATAAATTCAATTGAAACATAACATAGAAGAGTGCCATAATAATCACAACTGAAGAGAATAAGTAACCATAGAAAATTTGTTAAGTGTAAATATATCTATGGGCTGGCTTATTAAGTATTTTCAATACTAGCTCCAACTAAGGCTATGTTTGGAAGATATTAAGAAATGAAGTGAAATTTATATTCTTAATTTAATTAAGAAAAAATAAAAATTCTATTGGGACAATATAAGAAATTATATTAATAGAATTCATGCAGAATTGAAATAATAAGTTCCAAATTCCATAACTTTGTTAGAACTTAAAACATATTGTTCTAATCCATATAGAATCCCATATAAAATCAATTTTTATCATCTTTTCTTTTTAATAAAACTTTCTTCTTTTAATAGAATTTATATTATATAATAGTTAAACCAAACGTTAACTCATAAATAAGTAGTACAATTTTATATTGCTTCCAAACATGGTCTACATAAATCAAAATTGCGGAGAGAAATAGGAAAAGGAATGGGTTAACATGCTATGGAATGTATCGCATAAGCTGCCTAGGCACTACCATGCATCACCTTACAGTATGTGCATGAGTTCCAGCTACAAATCCAGCTGAAAATAAGGTTTGGCTGACATGTAATACGGCAGACTATACCCTTATATTTATTCATTATAGGAGGCTAGCAGAATATAATTAAACAATTGCCGACGCAAACAAGACCTTGGCACTACTCTTTTATAATATATTTTAAGAATCATCTTCTAGAAGTTTAAAGATTGCATTTAACTGAAACCTCACTTCCTTTTACCTGATAGGGATTAAATCCTGGCATCATTGACATCTGCCCAGCTTGTGGACGGAATGCACCACTCTGTGGATACATTTGCGCACCACCTGCATTAGAAGGACCCTGCATGTTTGGGGGGCCATTTTGAAAGCCTCCGGGAGAAGCACCACTAGTGGGTAATGATCCTGAGTGCATTGGATTGATGCCCATAAAATGGCCCTGTGGCATTGGGGGAACCATCTGATTCATGGCACCTTGCATTCCCTAAAATGAAGAAAAAAATGTCAACACAAAGCCTCAAAAATAAACCAGGAAATCCACCAAAACCTTTTGCGAGTAGTTTCTCACAGGTTAGAACACTTTTTCCCTTAGAAGCGACTAGAGTGTTATGTTGACACGTCAAGACCCAAGGATGAAGATCCAGAAATTGCTGTTGTTCTGTTTTTCTGTTAGAAACTTTATTTTGACTTTATACTTTGATTATCAGTTGCTTAGTAAGCTGGCTAGTTTGTTTCTTGCTGTCATTTCGTGTGTTCTTTCTCTATCTAAGTCCGTCATGTAGCATTTTCACAATAAGCCAAGAAATGAATTAACTTAAAAAATTTCCCTGTTTGCATATGCAAATTCTCTCTCTACGTCTTATATGTCAATATTTCTTCTTTTCTCCATCCATTGTCACTATTTCTTTCCACTAATTCTGATCCTGACATCACATTAAAAAATTGTAGTTTTTAATAAAGTTAATGCTAGCGGCAGAAGATAGCAGCTGATTTCTCAAAGGTTAATTATGGTAAGAGTTAAATTAGTTATCTCCCAAGTGAAAGTAGAGTCAATCCCAGCCCTTCCAAAAAAAAATGCATCTTACCAGAAACTTAGTCCAAAGTGAAAGGTGGAATAATTAAACATCTAGAATTTTCCAAGAAAAAGATATGCATCTGCTAGGAACATCAGCGGCGAAATAACACCTTGTGATAAGGTGTATCAGAGAAGTAAAAAGAAAAAATAACGAAAAAAATTATGTAATCTGTAGGTGTTGTTTTATGTGGCTGTGCAGTCTGCAGGTGCTATTTTATGTAGTTGTTATGCGACTGTTATGTGGCCGTTTTGAAGTGGCTATTATGTATTTGGCGTTGTAATTGCTTGTGTTTAGCAGGAGAAAATTAGGGAGAAAAAATAGAGGCCAGTTGGCTGACTCTGGAAGCAAATTTATTAAAATTAATTGCTCCTCATGTGCTGGATTTTGTATGTACTAAGATATTTAAGTAGTATTTATGTAATAGTGTGGTAGGATCGTAGAAGTATCTAGAAATAACCACCAGAATTATTGCCCATTATCCCTCTTGTATCACTTGCTGTCTCACAAATGGATATGCAGAAAAATTTGTCAAAAAAGTTTCTTCAGTACTTTAACTCTAGGAGATTGTTGGGTTCCCTTTTAACGATCCTATATCATTAACAAAATCCCACAACGAGATCCTAAGTAAGGACCATAACAGTATCACTTTTGGTAACTTATATGGATGAAGGAAAAATAACATGCAACAGGAATTGATACTTATGTCAAAATGCATTTCTTTTAGGGTTAGAGTTTTATATTGCAGGAGAAAATAGGAGTGGGCAGCAAACTTATAAAATGAGGGAAATGAAAACATGAGCATTAAAACTGGTATTGAAACTTAATCAAGAATTAAAGCTCAGTGACAAAAATTAAAAGAAGAAATAATCTAGAGACACAACCGTACCATTGGACCAGGCATAGATAATGGATGCGATGCAGGCATTGATGAAGGCACAGGAAGAGATCCTGGCAGTGAAGATGGAATGGGTGAAGGCATGCCAAGTGGTGGCATCTGCAGTGGGGGACGAGGTAAATGAGGATGTGGAAGCAAAGGCATGTGAGATGGCGTCTGTAGCTGTTGCATATTTGGAGGTGGCATAGGCATAGGGTGCATTTGCTGTGGAAGAGCCTGATGCTGTTGTTGCTGAATCTGCTGTGGATTCTGCTGAAATCCCTGCTGCGGATTGGCTGCAAGAAGAGAGGGATGTGGACCAGGAGGAAGAGGTGGGGCTCCCAGAGGCATTGAAGGCGGAAGAGGCTGCTTCTGCTCCCCCTGCGATGACACATCAGGAGATGGAATTGATAGTGGCATTGCAATTCCAACTCCTGGAATAGTTCCCTCATTTCTGGTCAATCCAGGAACAAATGCTCCAGGAGTTGGTGGTGCCTCCGGTACCGGAAAATTACCAGGAAAACGACCAGCAACCGCAAGGTTTTGCTCACCATACCCTGATAGAAGCTAAAATAGTTAGAAGTTCTTAACAGGTCATAAAAGATTTTAAGGATAAACTGACTACAGCCAATTATCTTCAGAAAACTACTCTAGCACAAGGCAAATAAACAAACTCCACTGTAGAAATCCCACATGCACCACTAAACAGTATTCAGGCTTTTTCGTTTCACAGCATCTTTTTGGTTAAATCTAGAGCTTAGAATGGTCATCTGCAAATATTGTTCCTTCTTTATGATGATATTTAAAATGTTTATTTCAGGGACTAGAGAATAGGCAATAGAATAACAACCTTGATTTTGGGAAATGCTAAATTTATCGCGAGGGGTGTCCCCAGGCCTATTTCTGCACCAGAACTTTGTTGTATGATCATTGCTACCACTGTAAAAGGAACTAGACAGGTTTAGCAACTAAACAGATGACCTACAGCTTTGCTGAATTCCAAATATTGATAAAACCAAATTAGTGAAATACACTAAAACAAGAACAGAGAAAAAATAATCACACATCTTTTTTGGCAAAAGATCTATAATGGGTTCCATTCGACTCTTAATATGGACAGGACCTTATTTCTTGGGTTTTTAAAAGTTCTTGCCTTCTTTAATTACCAAACTTGTAAAGAGATGGAATGACAGACCTTGCTCTTATTGTAACTGCAGAAACTCAAGTGAAACAACAAACAATCCCTCTTTTCAAGGAACAAATGCTTCTGAAAAGCTTAGAGAAGTGGCAGAAAACTGTATCCTTAAACTTATGCATATCCTAAATTTATATACAATGATCGTGAGAAATGCTATGGTAGTGCTTAAATTACCTCATTACATAGGAAAGGAAATAAATGTTTTCTGTTTTTTTTCCAAAAAAATCTACTTTTTTTTTAAAGTATAAAATGTATTGTAATAAGCACCAACTGGTGCAGATTATGTACAATTATTTACAGCTTAATCCTCCAAACAGAAAGTATTCCTAAACATTTGGATCATAATCAGAGGATGACCCGAAAGCAAAAATTCTAGGGTCCTAAACCATCTATTTTTCAGTACATCAAAACCCTTTGAATCCTCAATTCCTTCAAAAGCTCTAGAATTCCTAGCTTTCCATACAACCCACAAAATACTGAGAGAAATAATGTCTGCAAAATCACAGCAGCTTTCCAAACTCTCCCAAGCACCAATCTCCTCCCTTACCAATCCTGACATGACCCAGCTGATCCCTAAACATCTGTACACCCCACACCACAGTGGATACGTAGCAGGACAGTGAAGCAGAAAGTGGCAGCAAGACTCTTCAGCCTGTTGGCATAGGTAGCAAGCATTAACTAAAGTGAGACCCCTTCTCTTTAATTTATCAATTGTTAATACACTCCATGCTAGCTTCCCAAGTGAAAAAGGAAACCCGAGGAGGCACCTTTGCCTTCCAGATCTGTTTGAACGGGAGAATATTCCTCTCACCATCAGTCAATTGTGTCTGCTCATCATGCTGCATCAATTTTTTGCACCAAGATTGCACTGTGAACACCCCTTTTTTTGTGATATTCCACCAAGGCTTATCCGCATTGTTGCCCAAATTGATACCAGCTAAGATCATCATCAAATTTTCATACTCCATTAACTCCCAGTCATTTAAATTGCGACTCACCACCACCTCCCAGGATCCTTTTCCATTCTGATTTCTCTCAAAACAATCCAAAACACGGGCAGCCTTGTGGGTGGAGATACCATAGACATTGGGAAATCTATCGTCGAGTGGACCCCCTTCCAGCTAATGATCATCCCATAAACTGGTTCGCAACCCATTACCAATCTTCCAAAGAATTTGGGTCATAAAACTTACTTTTCCCATTTCAATTTTTTCCATAAATATTTACTGTGAGTCCTCTGCCTTCCAAGAGTCAGCCACCCGAACGAATCAAGCCCATATTTCGAGGCAATCACTCTCCTCCACATAGTGTTATCCTCATTCATGAATCTCCATAACCATTTACCCTGCAAAGCTTGATTCATCTCAATCAAAGACCAAATCCCAAGTCCACCTTTCCGTAAAGGTTTCTTCAATTCATTCCAAGCGACCAAATGAAACTTTCTAGCATTCACAACATCACCCCAAAAAAATTTTGCTTGAATAGCTTCCAATTTTTTTGCAACACTAGCCGGAATTGTGAACAAAGATAGGTAATAAACCGGCAAGTTACTTAGTGTACTTTTTATTAAAGTCAAATGGCCTCCTTTAGAAAGCAACCCCCGTTTCCAACCAGCAAGTCTCCTCTCAACATGGTTGATTACCGGTTCACAGACCCTTTGATCGTTGCAATTGGCACCCAAAGGTAATCCAAGATACTTAATAGGAAAATATGATGATTTACAGCCCATCCCTATAAATTCAGATTTTGCCAAATTTTCTTCAGACCGAAAACTACTTGAAAGCCCATTAAAATACATCTATCCCTCATCACTGTGATTTTCTCCGATTTACAGAGAAGGACATCATCAGCAAAAAACATATGTGTGATCTCCTCCTCACAGCTTCCATCCCCAACGTGTAGACCCCAAAAAAACTCCAGTTCTCTAGCTTTTAGAAGGGATTTTGTTCAATGCCTCCG